CTCAAGGCCTTTCTTGGGAACAAATCCGGGTGACTGTGCATCATCCTTCCACAGGGACATTTTGCCTGGTCAGTGGCATTATCATTTTTGTTTTAACAGAGGGAATGAAATTTGAATATTTGTCCCATTAGGTTTAAAGGGTTTGGACTTTGTTTTATGCCTTAACCAGAAAGCAACAAATTTAGTTCTATTCAGGGAATTTAATTCACATCTCATTAACTACATTGGCAAAATTCAACATTATCCCAGAAAGGCTCATTTGATTAAAGAACTGGTGGACATTACTTCTCTCAGACTAATCAAGTTAATTTTAATGGATGTAATAATGTCTCCCTGGCAGGTTATTTGAAAATAAAATAAGCTACCTCACATATTCTAGGAGATTTGTAAATTATAAAGTGTTTAAATAAACATAGGTGATAACTGCAGGCCTGTTTATTCCTCTACCTCCAAATTTCACCTCTTGTTTTCTTCCCCATTCCTAAGAGATATTACTTCATTGTTTAGCAAAAGGGAACCCTCCAAGCCTGGCTTACTATCAGCTATGTTTTCAACCAGTAGGTTTATTCAATAAATATATTTAGAGAATTATCGCAGGCCAATAATGAAGTTGTTACACAAGTATATACATTTAAAACACACACAAACAGAGATTTTGAACTATCTGGCTGAGGATCAGCGAGACAACTCTTTAACTCTTACCCATATTGAGTACGTACAAGGGTTGGGAGATGGAAACAAAAGTTGGAAATGGAGTAAGGCATTCCAACCCCAAGAAAACAAAGTGGGAGATGCTACCTCCTATTCCCAAATCAAGAGAGGGGCTTCAAGGGAAACTGGATAAAGTGTCTCAGATGGAATGAATAGCTGCAAACAAACATTTTAAGCACAGACACCAAATGGCTCCTGTATCCCATAGTTCCTCAGCTGAGATACTGACATGACTAAGTTCTGCGATGAAAGAAGGCGTAGGTGCTGAGGTTCATTACAAGAGGGGAAACCCCATTAAGTATCACAGGGACCCTGACTGAGCCAATTTAGCTTTCAAAATGAAGCAAATTTCAGAAATGAGTTATTTTTTTCAGTTAGTTATCTAGACACTGATGTGTGCATCACTCTGAGAGATGCTGTGATCCACAAAATACCTTTTGGACTATTTCATAGATGGACATGTCTATTTAGATGGAAGAGACTTCAAGTATGTCACACAGATCATATGACATGTACTGATATTTAGTATGACCTCCCATGGGCAGGCATAGACAGTGAAAACCAAGAACAGTAATAATCAATTATGCCCCAAGCTAACATTAGGACATAGCATTTTTGGGGGGGTTCTTTTTGAGACAGGGTCTCCCTGTAGCCTCAGCTGTCCTGGAACTCACTATGTAGACCAGGTTGGCCTTGAACTCACAGAGATCCACCTGCCTCTGCCTCCTGAGTGCTGGATTAAAGGCGTGCACTACCATGCCCAGCAGGACATAGCATTTTTAAAAGATCTGCCAGTCGTTTTGCAGTACAATAAATTAATTTCATCTTAGGGAATCACAGCAGAAAATAGTACATTCTCCCCATTTTAAAGATAATCTGAAAGTACGCTTAAGAAACATAAGATCGTGTCCTATGAAAAAAGAAAAAAAGGTGCTAATGCCAAAGAAATCCACAATGATTGAACCCAATTGTGCTGAGATAACATGTAAACTTTGTTTTTACATTAGACAGAGCTTGTAAGAGAACAATCTCCCTCCTGCAACCTACCTACCTACCAGGAGCAGCACAAGTGCCCCTGCCTGGGTTCTTTGGACTCGGGTACAGGCGATTTTGTTCATATTTTGCACGCCTTCTGTAGGATGGTAGGTTCCTTTCAGAACTCAAGCTGAATGAGTGCAAACTGTGGCTGTAGATGACAAAGACCTAACTAAAACATACAGAGGAGATTTGGAGGCTGGTTTACAGGAAGGCTGGAGGGAAGTTGACTTAGGTAGATCTGGAACCAAATATAGTCAGAATGTTCCCTCCACAGGTGTATGTGCCAGCTTCTTCCTTTCCAACTGCAGCTCAGCTGTGTGTGTGTGTGTGTGTGTGTGTTGTGTGTGCACGTGTTGACTGTGAACTGGTACCAAATCACATACTTACAGCTTCATGGACAGAAAGAAGAGTGACTTTTCCCTCATTTGCAGTTCTCGATTGTGGAAGAAATAACCTGATTGGTATATATTGTGTCTTGTGCCAAGACAGAGGGGGGCTATTAAGAGTGACATATCCTAGGAAATTGGCCCCCAATCCCACTTGGCCAGGAGGTGAGTCTGTCAGTGGAGAGGCAAGGAGTGCTGGACAACGTATCCAGAGACATTTAATTATTTATTTACTCTCTATGTATGTATACATGTCATGGTGCACATGTAGAGGTCACATGAGAGCTGTCTTCCTCCTTCTACCATGTGGGTCCTGGGGATGGAACTCAGGACATCAGGCTTGATGGTGAGCACCTTTACCAGCTGAGTCATCTCACCACCTTCCTCCTTCTTGGAGACATTTAAAACTGCAACAAAACTCAATATACCATAGGAAAATTATTGATGGAAATGAATCATAAAGGAAAATGTCAGATAAGGCCAAAAATATTAACACGTGAAGGCTTGGTAATCAATTTTAGAGACATATGATTGGTTGACAGGGAGCAAGGTTCAGAATTCATTTAGGTGTTTAATTTGCTCTTTCTGAAAAAAATATATCTAATTTTGTAAGATAAAAATAAAAGCAACAGGGGCTGGAGAGATGGTTCGGCAGTTAAGAGCACTGGCTGCTCTTAGAAAGGACCTGGGTTCAATCCCGGCACCCGCATGGCAGCTAACAACCATCTGCGACTCCAATTCCAGGGGATCTGATGCCCTCTTCTGATCTCCATGGGCACTGCATGACACGGGTGCACCTAAACTGCATGCAGGCATTACACTCATACACATGAAAAAAAAAATAAATAAAAATAAAAGCAACAACTTCATTGCAAGGGGAATAATGGCATAGGAAGGATTAAATGCAGTGGAAAATGGAAAAGCAGGGTAAGAGGGGGAGGATGGGGAGAGATAACTGACACTAAAGAGCTTTTGAAAAAGTCGTATGGAAACTTACTATTATAGAAGCTTCTTAAAAGTATATACATATACAGCCGGGCGTGGTGGCGCACGCCTGTAGTCCAAGCACTCAGGAGGCAGAGGCAGGCGGATCTCTGTGAGTTCAAGGCCAGCCTGGTCTACATAGTGAGTTCCAGGACAGCTGGGGCTACAGGGAAACCCTGTCTCAAAAAAACCAAAAAAAAAAAAAAAAAAGTATATACATATACAATGTAAAAAAAGAGTTTAAATGGAATTATCATATGATGGAGGGACAATGCCTCTACTAGCCACCATAGGCTAGAAAATAAAAAGCCCAATGCCAGGAATTGACTCTCTCTTTTGGAGTTGTTGATCAGGGTGGAGGGGGGTTCCCATAGAGCCTCCAACAATACTGGCTATTGCCATTGCTCTTGATTACCTACCAGAACTTGATGGTCAGACCCTACTACTGAAGACACTACATAAGTGAGAACAAACAAGGAGAAATCAAGCAGGTAGTGAAATCAAAGCTCCATCTCTACTGACTAGCTTTGTGTGCTACCAGATGTGAGAAGTAATCATCAGCCTTGCTCAACTGTGAACTCTATGAGCTACAATTAACAACTGGCCTGGTGGGATATACCCACTTGGAGCTACAGAGATGGCTCAGCAGTTAAGAACACTGGCTGCTCTTGCAAGGACCCAGGTTTGGTTCCTAGCACCCATATGGCACTAACTCCAGTTCTGGGGGATCCAACATCCTCTTCTGGCTACTGTGGGCACTGCATGCGCAGGTGGACTTAATGTTCATGTAGACAAAACACTCATGTACACAGAAATTAATTTTAAAAAAGATACATCCACTGGTGCAATAGTGGCATGAATGTTATGGGAGTAACCAACTATTTTTCTGATTGGATTTAAGGCTCACTTCAAAAGATAATGCCCATATCTGACACTGTTATCAGGCCTAGAAATCTGTGGCGAGACAGGTCACAAGTCATACTGTTATTCTGCTAAATGGACATAGTATTAAACTGACTCTTAATGACTTCTTATACCCACAGATTAATGGATCTCTGAACTCTAATCAAAGAAGCTTCTGCTTGCAGGAGATGGCAATTTACTAAGAGATTCGCAACTGGTCAATGTACAGAGACTAAGAGACTATAGAGTGTTCAGCCCTAAATGGGACACCTATATCACACAGTCTCCTCCCAAGGTTCAGGGATCATTGTGGACAAGGGAGCAGAAAGATTGTAAGAGTTAGAGGTAGTAGGTGAAATATGGAAACTGTTTTCTGGATACCAAAGGGAGGCTGCACGTATGAACCCCTTGTAACACTTGTGACAGCGTGCACAAAACCTGTGTAAATCTAAGACACACAAACCCAGCATAGATGGGGGAGGGGAGGAAGAAACCTCAGTCCTAGCAGAGAAACTACTGGCAATTGATAGCTGCTAGGAGGGGGAGGATCAGTTTTCTTTAGGGGTGTGATGCGTAGTAGGCTGACCAGGCTCCAAGGGTTAGACCTATCCCCATAGCATTTGGAGAACACAGATTAGACTCTATAGGCAGAGAAGAGAAGAGGAGGGGAAGGGAGGGGAGGGGAGAAGAAGAGAGGAGAGGAAAAGAAAGAAAAGAAGGAAGGGAAAGAGGAAAGGAAGGCAGGAAGGAAGAGAAAGAGAGAGAGACATTAAGTCAGAGGGGTAGCAGCATGGGGGTAAAGACGAGGGAGGGGGTCTAAATGTGATCAAAATGCATTATATGAAATTGCCAAAGAATCAGTATTTTTTAAAAAGTAGGAAAGCGTGCTGACCTTATGTTTGGCACTCTAACAAGCTCTGCTGTGCTATTTCCATGATTAGGTACACCATTCCCAAGGAAGAAAAAGGACAAATGCACTGATCTCTATCAACTTGCAATCTTTATTGTATGTCTTAACACGTTTTTAAACATCATGACACTCTTTGAGCAAAAATTTTTAAGTCACTTATTTAGGCTTTGACTGTTTAGGACATTCTTAGCATCTTCTCTTACAGTAACAGACTGGAATGATAAGCAAGTACATTTGAAAATATATCAACTATCAACATATTATAAAAATCTTAGCCCTAATATAGACATATTTACTCTCACAGATCTTGCACCTTCTAAGAAGTGTTCTCTTTACTAACACTGGGAGAGGATGCTTTCAACCATGTAGGCACCCAGAAAAGTAGTTTTACATATGGAGTATGCTACTGATGAAAAACTTTTCTTCTCTTTCAAATAGTATACATGAAAGCTATAGCTTACTTGTAGAGAACTGAGTCTCAGTGAGAACCACCATCTAAAAACATGAATACATTGCTATAACTATACCAGAAGAATGATATATTGCACTGTACTGTGCCTACCTATGTGCAAAGATCAGCTGTCCAGGCTGGCATCAGGTGCTGAGACTCACCCATCTGATACTCAGGGTGCTCCTGAAGTGACCTCTCTTGGTTCTCAGGCTAGCTCTAGGAAGCACCCTTATAAACTTAAGCCACTGAGTTCAGTAGTATTCAACTCTGGGACTTGTCCATTTCCCCTAATGATGAATTATTAGCACTTTTTTAAGAGAGCTAGATTACACAGAAGAAAAACCATTGTTCTGCAGAAAAAGTCATTCAGTAATTAGAATCTTTTTCTGAGCAGACCAGAGAGCCTAAAGAAACTATTCTTGGATTTTTTTCTTAACTCTGCTGTCATTGGAATTAAGGACTCATGGTCAAATACTCATGTTTCTTTTGGACCTAGGAGGAGTTATTGCATAAATAAATCTCTGGGCTTCAGTAACAGAAATATCTAAAGAAGTTTTCTGCATACAAAGGAACAGAACACTTTTTTAAAAAAAACTTTTAAACAAGAGAATGATGCAAGGATATCAGTAGATTTTTAGCTGTCTTCTTACAGCTAGCCTCAGCCTTTTGCAAAGCATGGGTAGATGGTTAGATGTCTATAATGGGAACTTGTGGTGGCATATCAACACTAGTAGATCCTATATCTTTTGCTCTCTTCCTATTCTCCTCCCAGAGACATTACTGCTTGTTTCCTTGGGTATGGATTTAGCTATAAGTATGGGAAGAAGGCGGATGCTCTAGGGAGGTAAGTGTAATCACCAAATCAGAGGCTCCTCCCCCAAACCTCAGAGGAAGGTAAAAGATACAGTCATCAAAATAGCATTTTGCCTAATCACTGATTCATATAAATATTTTTTCAGGACTGCTGAGTCATAGTTTAGCATATACAGCATAAAAGATAAAATACATACAATGTGAGCACCAATAGCAGACAACCTTCTTACCACTTACAAAACAAGATTGTAATAAAATGTTTTCCATGAAAATGTAATACACTTGTGAGAACAAGTCTATATGGCTGCATAAATCCTGAAATAACAGAAGAAACTAGTCAAAAACTTCTTGTTCAATACATGATTATGATTACTGACATCCTTTCAATTAAATCCTATGTGTTTAAAAATTTGTCCCAGAAGCCTGGGACAAATGTTTACTCCACATTTCATGTTGAGATCTGCTGCATTGGCATGAGTTTTGGTGAAACCTAGTAAAAGAAAGAGAAAAACGTCATCAAACTGTGACAAACCAAACCATATACAAATGTCTTCTTTGAATTTCCAAATTTAGTAAACAGCCTTTCCATGGCAACTGCCTAGAGCTTCACTGTTATTTCTCATTCTGGAACACAAAGACAGAGAGCCCCTGTCTTTACTTTTACAGTACACAACCTTCATATATTATAGTTCCTATAAAGCTGCCTGGGGTTGGCAACAAGGAGGTGTGCAAGAGAAGCAGAGAGACACACAAAAGATCCCGATGCCCAAGTATGCCACTGGATGATCACCCAGCTCCAAGACTGGTGTCTTCTGATGTCTTCACTCAAGACACAGTACAAAATGTGTTCCACAATTCTCAGTGTATCTAGCTAATTTCCTTCGTAATAGTCATAAAAGGGTATGATCAGTAATAAATCGTAGAGACATCATAATTCAGAGAGATGATACAAAGATAGTAAAATGATTTAAAATTATTACAAAAAGGTTTTAGCATTAGAACTATTAAATGTTTATAATTATGTTAAGAATATAGAATAGAAAATACCTTCCTAGAGGCTTTGAAGCAGACAAAAAATAAGAACAAGTTTATACTGAAAGTAGAATCGTTGAAAGGATGAATCTATATAAATCATCTGGCTTAACTGTGACATGTCATTTATAGTACAGCACCAACTTTAGATTTCTTAATTCGATATGCTAAATACCCACTGGCCCTAACTAGGAAGTCACTGGAAAACAAAGCAGAGACTACTGAAGCAGCCTCACATAGCACAGGCTGGCCTCATACTTGTGAAGTAGCTGGGGATAGACACTGAACTCCTGATGCTGCTGTCTCTACCTCCCAAGTGCTAGAATATCAGGAGTGTACTACCACAACCAGTTTTAAGTGATTTTTTTTTGAGCCCCTCAAGGATACAGCAATGGAAGTAAGCAGATTAGCTTTTTCACCTTCTGTAATACATAATTCACACTTAGTAAAAGTAACAAATGAACCAATGAATGAGTAGATGATTAGATAAACATCAGAAAGCTAGAAGAGACTCCAAGAAAGGTTAATTCAGCATTAAAAATTGAGAGGGCATGCAACTAATCAGCTTTGGAGAGGTTAAATATTTCAGTTCATTTATAAATAACTTCTGTCTTAATTCTTCACAATGTCAAGAATTAATGCCTTTTCTTCCATTCTCAACTAAAAATGAAATAAATATGAACAAAAAATTTTAGTGAGAATGATAAGAATAAAAGCAAATAGTACGATCATGATAGTCTGCATATAGCTTAGAGGAAAGGAAAGCACTTTCAGTTTTGAGCAGATAAATAATAACAAATAAAATAATGGACACAGAATATGCAAATGTAATATCCCATGTGTACAGAACTTCAACTCTACTGAAAAGTCACATGTGAACTTAGCATTTAGGTAAATGTGCCTCAGAAACAACCATTTCTCTTTTAAACAACAGAGCACTCAGGAAAATAATTAAATGAAATAAAATTCTATTTTGAAAGATTTCCAATGGATGTTTTGTAGTCTTTTCTTTAAAAGAAAGCTGGCCACCTTACTTTTTAAAAAACATTGGATCCATTTCCTTATCATGTCAGTCAATATTTGAGTTCTTAGTATCATTCATATTCTCAATGTGGAAAAGGACTTTTATTGGAAAAGATGAAAGTGGTGTAGCCACTGTGGAAAATAAAATGGAAGCTCCTCAAAAAATTAAAAATGGAATTAACATATGACCCAGTAATCCGACTTTTGGGTACATATCCAAAGCATTCAGAACAGGATTGTAAAGACATGTCTGTACAGTCACATCCACATCACTGCTACTTGCAGCAGTCAAGTGGTGGAAGTAACACAAATATCCAGACACACACGAAACCTGTCAAACAGTAAAGAAACTGAAGATGGCACAAAGAAACAGAAAGCAATCATCTTCATGAACTGAAAGAATCAATATGGTTAAAATGGGATCTATAGATCCAACACAATTCTTATTGAAAACACACCAATAGCTTTCTTAACAGAATTGAAAGAAATAATATTTGTATGGGATCACACACACACACACACACACACACACACACACCCTTGACTACTTGAAGCCATTTTGCACTAAAAGCTCAAAGTAGAAAGCATTATACTACCTGAACTTAAAATACATTACAAATCTATAGTAATTAAAACAGTGTGATACTGGTATGAAAACAGACATAGACCAGTGGCAAACAAAAAAGCTCCTAGAACCAGAACCATCCATCTACAGCTGTTTGAGACAAAGGCACTAACAACACTGGAAAACTGGAGTAAAACCCGTCTTTTCAACAAACTGTGCTGTGAGAATTAGATACCACATACAAAAACTGCATTCGACTCCTGTCTCTCACCAATTATAAGACTACATTCAACTTGGACTAAAGACATAAATATAAGACTCTGAAATTATAAAACCACTAGAAGAAAACATAGGGAATACTTCAGGACATTGAAAATGGCAAGG